CCCCATCTACTGTTCCCAGCTCAGTCACGTACACTTCTCTCTCTCTTGTACAACGGACATTCCGCGACTGGATGAACACGGTCTTCGCATTCGAAGCCGCAATCACATTTGAACTCGTCGTCTTCCTCGTCTACCGTCCTATGTCTTCGTCGACGTTCTCGAAGGCCTATGTCCCCGGTCCTGAATTTGACCTTAAGCTTTGTTCCTGCATCCATTGGTCCATGTAGGTAGTCCTTGAACCCTATTCCTTCCTTCAACATTCCGTACACTTCTAGACCCTCCTTATCCTTGGATTCTTTCCTCAGATTCTGTTCTTCTCTCTCGGCACAAGCAACAGATATCTTCTCCTTGAACCCCTGTAGACCCTCCGTTTCCAGCGTTTCATCTTCGTCGATGTCGATCCCCTTCCATACGTCCTCTACAACCTTGACCCATTCCGTGGGTTATCTACCCCTCTTTTTGTTTGCCCACTTCGGCTCCCATACAATTCTCGGCAACCTCTCCTGTCCCATCCCGCACATGCGATACTGCCATGTTAGCTTCCTCGCCTCGCGTCTCTTCCCTCCCCATACTCATGTTTTGCACGTCTCAGAGGTTAGACCGTTGACCACGTGTCCTCGAGAGGGTGGGGAAGCTTTGGCTGGTAGCACAATAAAAAACTCGGTGAGCATGATGCGTGGCAGCATGGCACGTGCTTGCACTGAAACCTGACAACCTGACCCCCGCCAGTCTCAAAGAATGGTGAAACGACTAAGGCTGTTTCGTCGCGGACGTTGTGTTTAGCACCGAGTTATTTATCGAGTCTAGTCGGTGCTCGTCGCGTTCAAAATCGGAGGCAGGCACCGCAGGAGGAAGCCTCAGGGAAGAGGAGTCCTTCTGTGTGACTGACCTCAAGGTTTCTATCCGGCAAAAAACGCTATCAGCGCTGATTTAAAGTGATGGAAAGAAAGAAAAAAATGCAGTAGTTGGCCCTGTTTAGTGCCGGTTAAACCTCTGGACACATACCGGAACTTAGCAGGGCCCACTACTTGGTCTACAACACATGTCCGTGTCGTTCTTTGTGCTTGTGAGCAGGGAAGCACAGATCCACCCTTCCTCGTCGCTTTGGAGAAGAAACCCGCCGGCGAAGTGCGTGGTGTTCACGGAGCTGCTGTCCACCAGCCGAGATGTAAGTCGCAACGATGGCAATAGCTCGTCCTTCGCTTGTCGAGCGGATCGGGTACTGCTGTATGCATATTGTCAGATTTTTGTCGAGGGAGAAGGGTTTGTGTCTTCGTCGGACAATGTGTGTGTGTTCGTCCCATCTCTTCTGGCGCCAGTCTAGAGGCCTTTCGGCGTACATATGAAAATCTGACGTATCAGCCGGGGTCACACAAAAGGGAGGTCACATACATCGGAGTTTTTTTTCATTTTTTTGTTCGTTTTCAGTTTTTAGTTCCCCGCCTTTCCCCTTGCTGTGCCTGCTTGAATATTCTTCTGAATACTACTGTTGCGATGCCATTTTTGGCTCCAGGAATCGTTCGGTTTTGCCGGTTCGGCTGAATACGTGACAACGCTTGAAAAACTCGCTCTGGTACGGTTCCAATCTTGGTAATTTTTTTCTCATCGCGTGAGTCGATGTCGGCCGTACTTAAAGCGGATGCGATGGTCTAGACAATCACGGTCGCTTGTTTTGGTCAAGATGCATGCCTGAGGTCAACGCATGCATGCCTGGCCAGAGCACGGCGAGCGAAAGTAACCTCTCTCCTGCCAACCTACAGTGTCTTCCGATCTCGCGACACCCAAGGTTTCGCACGCCAACGTGTTTGCCTACTCTAAACGAAACCCCACTCTTTGCTTGTCTGACCCCCCCCCCGTTGCTACCGTACTTTTTTGGGAACCCCGCTGGTTGCGTCACTCTTCTTGTTCCTCGAAACACGATTTTTGGTTGGCGCAGTTCATCAAGACCGTCACCGCCGTGGACTCGACTTGGCTGAGGGAGCTAGTGCCGCAGTACTTCAAGCCTTCAGGCGCCGTAGGAGTGTCGTCGTGACATCCCGACGCGCACTTCTTTTGTCCGTCGCACTATGACACTTGTGTCAACGAAAGGCACAAAGGCACGCATTTTTCTGATTGGTCAAAAATAACCTCGGGGCGCGATTTTTCCGGCTGCGAGGTGGACGTCCTGGCTGAGAGTAATCGTCCTGACTTGACTTTTTTTTGGACCGCCTTCGGAGGATATCAAGCGTGATATGTGAAACAGAGAAGGGGGGTTTTGTAACCCTTATCCGAAACCTAATTTAACACTCAAATGCGTAACCCCTATAAAATCCAGCTTGAAATATCGTCCCCGAGGCTACAAATACGACTGTGATTTTTGGAACGAGAGGTTTGAGTTCGTCAGCGTGGGGCTCTCGAGCGTTCGCGGTTTGTTTTTGGGGGCACTCGCTCGCCTGGATGTGGCCGAGCGCCTGCTTGGCCTGTTGTGGCGGGCACCAGATCTGATCTTTGTTATTGATAGCGTCGGTGGGAACAGCGCTGCTGTTGGCGTGTTGCCCGCAGCGCAACGCAAATATGATGATATGTATTTGTGGAATGCGGTTGTGCGGAAGAAAAGTGACCTGGTATGGGATGGCTAGACTACGTGTTGGTGGCGGATGGCGTCGTTTTCATGAGGCAGCAGCATCAAGAAAGAGTGTAGCAATCTCTTATCTTCACCATCCATGGGGTTATTTCACATGGACATGGAATTCTTGAACTCACCCGCCGCTACCTTCCTTCCTTCGTTCAAGTGGGGAGGATCTGTTTCCTTTCCTTGATTACCATCCCACAAGGCCACAGAACAAAAAATTGAAAGAAACACGGGAGGGATCGGACCCAGATCGACCACTCCTGCCTGCGACAACCGAAGTGATTCGTGATCGTCGAAGATTGTGGCGTTGCACTATTTCCCGACCTGCAAGAAAAGACCTGCAAAAGCAAGTGTTCTAGAAGCTAAATACCCAAGTGTATGTGTGCATGGCGGGGGTCGGGAGATGGGGAGACAGATGACCAACAAAGGAGAAAGTGGGCGCTCCAGAGTTCTTCCTTGTCCTCCGATGACATCAAGTCAATTCCGAAGTTCTAAAATATATCGACGTGAACTATTGTAGGAGGGCTGGTGGGGACTCTTGGTTGTGTGGGGAACAAGGTACAATTATTAAGAAGATCAACACCAGGATTTCCTGTACGCCTTCAATATCATTCCGAAATTCCGTAAGTGAGAGGCGGTGGCGAAAAGCGAGCGTGAAAATCTCTAGGGACATCGCCTGGATCTCCGCAGCAGCAGTGAAATTGTGACAACGGGCAACGGCAAAGACGAGGCCGCTTTCTTTGCTAGGCGGCCAAACTCCCACGTCGCAGACTTAACAATCTCGCTGTACATAATCGATGGGAATGGAAATAAAACGAACGGGGCAAGCAGCAGCAGCGCCGTGTCGGTTTCCTCGACGTTTACTGCGTGTCGTAAAACTGATGCCCGCAGCCGTTTCATGTAGCATGAACGCCGCACAAAAAGAAACACCTACCTTCCCCCCCACTAGTTTTGTTCCGCGGACCCCCTCGGCGCTGTGGGAGCTTGTCTGCGCCACACGGGTGTTCTCCTGTCCCTTTCGTCAGGTGAGATGCCGAATGGCTTTGACGACGCGGAGAGGCGCTGCTGTAGTGTTTCTCTCCCAGTGTGGATGTTGGATCTGATGGTCTAAGTTGTGCGGGGAGCTCAATGTATTGTGTTGCTCGAACTCGCCACCCTGAGATATGGCCACGGCTTGGCGGCGAGGTGCTGCTGCTGTGCTGTGCTGCTATGCTGCAGAGTGATCAGCCTTGTTCCACCTCTTCGTTGCTCACCCACATTGTTCTGTGCTCTGCCACAGGCTGGATTGAGATGTTCGAGGGTGTAAGGTGTTTTTTGGAATTGGTGCCTTGGTTTCCGTGCGGACAGCTAGCGCTGTGGAGGGGATGTATGGCCTACAAGGGTACACACACATGAATGATGGTTCACCACATGGCGGGTCATGGTATTTAGTTGCGCTGAGACTGTCTGGCTAGGGCCAAGTACAACTGCTGGCGGTGAGGTCCAACGCTTGGACCGTTTCAGACCGTTTTGCAGCTGTGTAGAAAACCCGAAGCGGACCGTGTCGCCTTTGCAGCGAGCGCGTCGGACAAGCCAGCCCAAACAGTTTGTACTCGTCCAGGTAGGCAGTAAGCAACAATCGTCCCTCGTTCGGAGGACAGCAGTGCCGTATAGGTGTGTGGACTATCCGCGACCTTCTGCTCTCTGGTGTGGAAGTATGGGATATCCATCAACCGGCAAATGACCTTGGTGCCTTTCCCTTTTCCAGCAGCTTGATCATGTCTCTCTCGGAGCTCCCAGCACCCCAGAAGAACGACATGGTCGTTAGCCTCGCCGCCCTCCTCCTGGAGGACGCTGGTGAGTCTTGCATAACTCTTTCCTCTTTCCAGTCGCAGCAGCGGCTGGAAACAAGACAATGCTTGCACTCTAAATGCAGGTTGCTGAAAGATGCCAGGACACGAGTTTTTCAAGCTCGATTTCTCCACAATGAAGAATGTGTGCAGTTCAATGATTCACTGACGAGTGTCGTTTTCGGCGGTAAATACCTGTTTTTGCTGCGGAGTGTTCGAGCTCTGAAAACCGGTCCAGGGTGTGTGGTGTGTGGTATCTTGCGTCATGCAACCTGCGGTAGGCAGCTATGTAGTTGCGGAGAAACTTTCATTCAACAGAAAACATGCGTTTTTCGTCTGGGGGCGTACGGCGCTACACTTCGCTACTTGGAGAGCAGCTCGGCGCTTCTTTTGGCCGAATGCACAGTAGTTGGATGGCTTAGTGGCGCTTCTACTTGCCAGGTGTTTGCCAGTCCACGAAGAAAAGGGCGCAAACTTATCTCACCCCCTTGCCGACGTGTTCCTCCCTGGCAATCATCAGCTTGTTGCTTTGGAAAACCGCGCTCATGCCGCGGCACAATGTTCGACGGAAACCGCTCTCATGCCGCGGCAACCTTTCTCACGTCTGTAGATATGCCTACGTCGAGAGCATGTTGTATCGACGCGCTTGGTTGCTACATGTTGTCGGCGGTGCAGCCCCGTGCCACCATCCTGTCGGTGCTGCTTGTGTACATTGCAAGTGCGGCGTAGGTGAGGTTGCAAAGAAACGGGAAGCCGCGTGTCGCGGGCTATGCAGCTAAATAGCACATGAGCACGCCTCGTGAATCGCATGCGCGTGGTACCCTTGGCTCTCGTTGTTTCGTGTGAGTCCCTCTGGTGACGGTTCATATTTGCCACCATGACAACAGTCGTCAGTATTGTTGGCAACACGCACGCCTGCCATTGTAAGAGAAATGCAGAACGTCTCCTCCGAAAGAACATTGCCGAGATCCCTCCCGACCCACCGATGGTTTCTCACCCACCACACGTCTTTCTGCTCTTGTCCCTCGTTGCTATTCGCTATCGACCGCATCCCTCATGGCAGGCTCCGTGCTTACCGCCGAGAACATCAGCGCGGTGGTGGCGGCCACGAAGAACGAGGTGCCGGCCTACTACCCCACCCTCTTCGCGGCCATGCTTGAAAAATCCGAGGGCTGCGCGATGTTCTGCAAGATGAGCGCGGGCGGTGAGCCGTTTTTTTTTTGTGTTCCTTGGTCCAGCAGGCAACACGGGACCCTTGATTGGTTGGAACGTGCGCCGGCGGCGTGCTTTTCATTTCGTTTTTACTGCTGCTTGATCAGTCCAAACGATGCAACAGGAAGCGTGGCGCAGCTCGGCGTAAATCGGTTTCATTGCTGCTCAGGCAGTCCAGACGGCAAAGCATACAGTCATGGCTTTTGGTATATATCGTAGATGCCCGACGTGGGGGGTTGCTGATGGCGTGTCGGCCTTGCTTGCAGGAAGAAGCGTCGCTACCGCTGCTTGCATAAAAATCGGGGATCGAGCGGGCTTGTTGACACCGGCCGTGTGTGTTATCTACTTGAGGGATCAGCAAGTACCAATTTTTGCGTAAAGAGATACCTAGCTCGGATGCTCAGAATTTCGAGAATCCACGCGGGTCCAACCTGTTGGAAGTTGTGCAGAAAATATTGACACCGTGCGTGCAACAGCAACGACACAGCGCGACTATACGCTAGTGTGTCGAAACGGACACATGCTTGCAAGCACTCACGTTCATTTCTGGACATTTTCGTTTCGGCCCAACATCATCCTACGGAACATTTAAATTTCGCTGCCGTGCAAACCTGCAACTTGGTTTTCTGTAGGCGGCGGTGGTGGGGGCGGCGGCGGCGGCGGCGGCGGCGCGGCGGCACCGGCTGCCGAGGAGAAGAAGGTAGAGGAGGAGGAAGAGGAGGAGATCGACATGGGCGGGGGCATGGACATGTTCGGCGGCGGTGAGTGAATCGCATCTGAATCCTTGTAATGTTTCCCCGACACCCAACGACACAGAATATAGAATGAAGAAAACACACACGTTAGGCCATTCGATCTGCTCATTTCGCTCAGTTCAACTCGGGGTCCAACCATTCAAGTATAAAATGAAGAAGACACGCACACATTGGGCCATTCGATCTGCTCATTTTGCTCAGTTCAACTCGAAACCCGACCATCCAAATTGCAAGTGAAGAAAATGCACACACATTATCCCATTCGATCTGCTACATACACCACCTCAGGGTGGGGTTTGGGTTTGGCGTGTCGGGAGCAAATTGACAGTCTTGAGAGTACGTAGGGTGGAGTCAAGAGGAGGGGTTTGGGGACTTGCTCGCCTTTGTGTTTGGTGTGAAAGCGGGAGGGCGTACAGTAGAGGAAAGTCTCGAGAGGCACGGAGTCGTAGGCTCAAAAGTGTAGACAAGACATTCATCGTCCACTTGTAGCCTTCTCGAGTCGGGATTTTCCTGTCATACAAGTTTTGTTTTATTTGGTTAAGGCTGTTCAACCTAGAGAACACCATGCCACTCGTCGTCCGACTCACCCCTTTTTTGTCCGGTTGCGGCTGTTGTTGAGCCCTCTTTGGTTGTGGTGACTTGTTTTTATTCCCTCGGTGGTTCTTTGAACTAGCTGATGAACACTGGGGTAACTTTGCTGCAAATCAGCGTGTGGTAGGAGACGTCGGTAAGACATCCACCAAACTGCGTTCGTTACTTGACGTTCTTTGCCATCGCGCGTGCCAGAAGAGGACGTGGCTGAGTAGCGAGTGAGCAAGAACCAACCCACCTCGCTCGCGGAAACCTCTTGTCGCACGGCTATTGTTGCACACCTCTAGGCATGAAACCGACGAATCCTTCCTGACCCCCCCCTCTTGTTGCCCATCTCTTCGGCGTTGACCATTGCTTGGTTGCTTCCAACTGCACCAGGTGACGAAGGCGGAGGAGACTACTAAGCGTCTTTTGATGCTGATCGTTCCTCCGCATGCCCGCGGTCGTGTTGAGTGGTAGCTTCCTTCCTGCGTGTCTCCTAGGCGTCATCGACGACTGGCTGTAATGACTGCTTTGCGGCACACTCATAGGGGTGTGGCGAAAGTGACCATTGTGGTGGCTTTCCTGAAATGTTACTCTAGTACCGGTGCATTTGCTTGTGGTTCGCAGACGAACGGGGTCTCGGCTTGTTGCGATATTGCGCTACGTTGGCCTTGCTGGCCAAGGTGTGTGTGGCGCGCGCTTGTGTGGCGACAAGCCGGCTTCGAGATTGGCCATTGGTTGGTGTCGAAAGCACACGAGGCTTGTTGCTCTTGTGAGCCGTGTAGTGGTGCGGCTGCTGGTATGGTACCTGGCTCTTGTCGGTTAAGTCTGTTGCCTACCTTCGCTGCTGTGAGGCTGATGAAGCTGCGGGAGCATAATGACAATGGTTGAACACCCATCGCGAAGTGTACGTGTCGTCCATCCCTGGGGCTTGAAGACGAAACCTGAGGGTCTTGTTTCTGCTTGAGGTCATGGGTGGAGATACCGAAAAAACAGAGTATTTTTGCACAGGCCTCTCGTGCTTTGGAGAACGTTTACGGTGATCCCGGCCGCGTTTTCACCGTTCCAGCTGACACAACGTGCACCACTACCTGCCTTACGTAATTTTGTTGGGGCTGAATACGGTCGGCACGGCGGATGTCCCATATGACTTTTCTGTCAAACCCGTCCGAAAGCCAGTGTCGATGATTCGCTTCTCTCGTCATTTGGCTTTGGCATGTTGCTTGACACTAGTCGGGCCTTGTGTACACTCTCTGCGAAATGGAGGTGCGTAATTCAAGAGCCGACACTTCAGAGCTTTGATACCCCCTGATCATTGGTGGGCACGTGCGCCCGGCGCGACAGACATGATACGTGCCGTGGGATGGGAAAATGTGCCTTGTAAAGGTCTAGAAATTTGATTGGAAAGTTACCATTCCGGCGGCAATTTCCGTCACACGATACAGATGAGCCGACCGTCGCAATGTGCTTCTCGAGGTCTATCGGACAACCACTAAACCGTCAAAAGAAATCGACCGAAGGCCATGAGCGGCATTGGCGGGTGGTTCGCGTAGTTTCAAGTGGCGATACCGCTGCATTGCCGCCGGCTCTTTGTACAATGTTCCCCTTTCATCGTCAAAACATGACGAGTGACCCCTCGGTCTCAAAACAGCCGATTTGTGTTGCAAAGAATGATGTTTTCAGCATCTTCCCCAGCGTACACCTCCTCAGAAGCTAACAGATACAGATTGATGCCACACTTTCATCGTCCAACCGCTAAATAGGCGTGGAAGAAATGGAAATGAAATGATCGCTCGTGTACACATTCACACATAGACGAGCCCCGTGGGTTCGTTCGCCATCACTCAATCAAGAAACGGGAGAGGAGGGCCGGGTCGGACCTAGCCCTCCCTAATACACAAAGGTAAAACTCACAATATCCCTACCGAAACAAAACAAAGCCCCTTTTCTCTGTGGTTCGCAAACCAAAAGTTACGCCGACGTCGTCGCAGTCTTATTTCGTCGGGCGGCCGCCATGAGGGACAGGATCTCGAACACGATGTTTGCTCCCAGCTGGGCCGTCATGTCTGACAGAGCAGGCAAGAATGATGGGACGAACAATAGCCGGTGGGAGAGACGTTGGAACTATAGATAGTACATGAGACTAGTCAGCGCTGTTAGACTAGTCAGCGAAGGCAAGTCTTACAGGTTGATTTCGGCTTCTATATAGATCTAGTGCACATAGACTAGTCGTCTAGCCCAATGAGCTGTAGACTAAGTCTAGAGAGCCTACGGGCTAGTAATGGTCTAAACGGAGTTCTTCCTCTCTCACCCGCATGGTCGTACGCGGGCGCCACCTCAACCACATCCCCGGACACGATGTTGAGACCCTTCATGGACCGAAGGAGCCGGATCAACTCGCGAGACGAAAAGCCGCCCACCTGTGTGGAACAAAAAGGTAACACATGAAATATTAGTATTCCGACCTTAAGATGTAGGCACACAATCAAGAGCAATCTCTCTTGGTTGCGGAGGATTCCAGCTTCAATAGCTTTTTGTAGTTGCAGAATGACTTTTTATTTTTCAGTCTTGGGGACGCAACATATAGTCTGGTCCAGATAATGTTTCAAGGTTCTGAAAGTACAACCAGGGAGAAAACACAAACCAAGTCTTGTCGTACCGTAGTACGAAGAGAGGGGGCGACGGTAGTGTGTGTTGCAAGCGTGAGTTCTCATGAATCAGAGACGGACGCGGGAGGGGGGGGGGGGGGGGGG